TACAGCCGCTACAGCCCCACAGGCCCCTGGGTCCAACACCTGCCAAACATCATGTTGGACTTTAGCTCAAATGCCCACAAGATGAGCAGGTTCCTATGTACATGCATGGGGCCTAAAAAAATTAATGAGACTATGCCAACGAAAAACGCAGTGATTGTCTGCCTATCCCCCCCTCACCTGTACCTACCCCCTTCCCCTTCCTCCTCCCTACCCTGTATACCCCGGCTAGACATGATAATGATTTGCATGTGATGTGTGAATTTAACTTGTGAATGCTAATCCCCAGAAAAAGAGAGAATTTTGTCTCCGGAGCGATGTTCCCAGACGTATCAATTTGTAATGTGGGATATGTTGTGTATGCTTTATTCAGGGCCACAATCCCATTCCTCCCCCCCCCCGCTTGGCAAGTGACACAAGGAACAAACGTGGGTACACTACCCCTGGGACGCACTGTAACACTGACCCCCGATATCTCAATATGTAATGTAACTGTGACGAAAGTAACCTCGTCACTGGCTTTTGGAGGGGCCTGTTTGCAAGCCACCTACCCTGTGATTATGGCCCTGTGACAAACTGAACTGAACCTAAAAAAGGACTTCCAGGAATTTCCGGAACCCCTGCTCTGATCTGGGTGATTTTTGGATATGTTGTTCATCCAGATCAAAATCCAACCTGTACCATTAAACTCTCAGATCATCTTGCACCTTCATGAAGTCTTGGCTCATGTTTGGGGGATTGGAGGACTACACTCTGGGGATTGCTATAATCACTATATTCCCCTGAGTATAATCACGAAGCTCTTGTAAGAGTTGTTCCGCCTTGATTCCCTGGAGCGAGAGAGGTTCACCCACTGGAACCTGGAGCCTTGTCGTAGGTCCAGGGTGGGTAGGAGACGGCGAGACCACAACCAAGCTGTGGTGGTTCATGGGGTTTGCAGTGGTTATGGTGCTCAAGCGCAGTGCTTATGGTACTCGTCAGTACTAGGAAGCAGCAATTGACGGAGGTACCTGGTCGGGATGCAGTCGGTTCATCACAGTAACCTACGTTGAATATGTCATTTTAAGGGCATCCTCCCCTCTCCCTTGACTTCCCCACTCCTCTTCCCCCCTAATGTTATACATGGGACATATGAAGATAAAAAAATAATTAAAAAATACATTTACATTTTTTTTTTATAATGCAGGTTATGTTGCATATATCTTACCTGGAGCCTCCCTTCCACTCCTCTCCCTCTCCTAGACCCTCTTTACCTTCTCCCACTACCCTTCCCAGCCCCATGTCACCCATGGTAGAATGCCCAGGGGCCCCTAGGCTGTGACAAAAACGAACCAGTGCTCCGCACTACCTAACATCTACTATGTGAAACCAATATCCAAAGGCCACACACCTGAATGTATACATACATTAGAATAATCAATGCAAGTTCACTAGCGAGAAGTGACTATAACACTAGCGAACCCCCCCCCCCCGCGCCCTCCCACACCTTTATTCCATCACTTACAACAGAGCATCTAAAGCATACCAACAAGGGGTTAATGTAGGTCCAAGACCACCGTAGCAATATAGACACCCCCTACAGGGTCCGGAACCCTGAACAAAGTCAGCAAGACAACTCTCCCAAAAAAATGAGAGCTCACCCCACCCCATTCTCCCCACTAACACCCTCCGCCCACCAGCACTCTCAACCCAAGAATCAAAAGAGGACACACACAAAAAAAATAAAAAATGAAGAGGGCCTCATTGACAGCAGCTCCTCAACACCTCCCTTCCCTCCCCTGCACAGGCTTGCTCCACTCATGTATTCACGGGATCCTATCAGTTGCCACTCCTTACCACTGGTTCCCAGATGGAGGCAGTAACCTCTGCACTAACCATTACCCTGCACAACCCTGCTTCAAAAACCAAGTGTACATATCCAGCTACATGAAATTAACACCCACTCATCCTACCTCCCGATACTGGGGTTTCACCATAAGCCTCCCGTGGACCACACCTAATAACACACCTCGCATAAGTCGGCATAATCCCACACCCTACCTCCCCACACTAGTCCATGGCAGGACATAGGCTTTACCTATAAAAGTCCCCTACAAAGAAGATGTCCCAGACAATTACACCCAATTTTTCCATCCTTGGATTGGCTCCTGAGGGCTAAATAAACACAGTCCCCCACATGTTACACACCTACACGTGGAACTTGATAGTTCCTCTGTATACCCGCCCATTACACGACGGGAAGGCAGACCAATTGGCTCCCAATATAGGTCTGAGTGACCTATCCACGGTGCGCACCAGATACCGAAGTTGTCAGATTTAACCACCTAGGGTACGCCACCAAAGGAGACCCCCTGCATGCTACACTTCTTGTTGTCAGCGAACAGTTAATTATTTAGTTACCATCTTCATCCTTTCTCCTTTCCTATCAATCCCATCCCCTCCACCTCCCATCAATGACAGTCACCACAACAACCCCCGACTAATAAGACCAGAGTGGGACCTGTCACACAGTCACACAATCAAATGGCGAACGTATGCATTGTTACACTTAACGTCAGGGGCCTAAACACCCCTGAAAAACACTCCATGGCTCTTAATGAAGTACACACACTTAGGTCAGACATAGCCTTCTGGCAAGAGACACACTTCAAAAAGGAGGCAGCCCCCACCCTCCAAAACAGAAGGTACCCGACCGGCTACTTTAGCAACTTCACTGACACTAAGGCGAGAGGGTTAGCAATCCTGTTCTCGGCACATATGCCCTTTAAGTATTCTTCCCATAAGTCCGACGATGCTGGGAGGCTGCTCATGGTCAAATGCCAAATAGATTAGACTACAGTCACACTGGCAAACACATATCTCTCCAATAGACGCCAATGCAATGCATTCAGAAAACAGCTCAAAGTCATAGAACAATTCACTGAGGGTATTCTAATCCTTGGTGGAGACTTTAACCTTTCATTGGACTCACAAATGGACATAACATCCCAAGCAACACAGTACCAAACATTCGCACATGCAAGTATGGCTAAACTAGTGGACAATTATATGACTGTTGGCACACCACACACCCAACAACCAAAAGACTTTACGTTCTACTCATCAAACACATGCACATACTCTAGACTGGACATGCTCTTCCTTCAACACAGATTCCTCCACTTAGTACAATCCGCCAGTTATGGTTCGATCACGTGGTCAGACAGGCACCCCTGTCTCTTGCCCTACAATTACCCACCATCCCACAGAAATCATTCCAATGGAATCTAAACGACCTTCTTCTCAATGATCTGGAAGTAGTCTCCCAGCTCAGAGGTTCCTTACAAAACTACTTTTCCACCAACACAACCCAACCTCACCCCCGCCCATCACTTGGGAAGCACACAAATGTGTACTACAGGGAGACATAATAGAACTGACAGCAAGGCACACTATTACAGAAGACATAAGGGCACTAGAAACCAAACACAAAACAGATACACAACTGAGCACCTACACAGCCCTCACGGCAAAACGATCAGCCTTACAGGACTTATTAAATGCCAAAATTAAACGTACAATTATGCTCACGAAACACTCTTACTACTGCCAAGGGGGCAAATGTGGCCGCATGCTAGCAAACTCCCTAAAACAACTAAGACAGTCAACATTCATCTCCAAAATTAAAGGAGCCGTGTCCTATAAACTCCCAGACATACTGACGGCCTTCCATGACTTCTATACTAAGCTCTACAATCTAAGCGACACTCCCTCGCCCTTCCCCCCCCGTACGTACATTCGTACCTAGGAGTTCGCCTATCGGCAGACCTATCATCCATTTTAGCCTTGGACTACGACCCACTGTACCAAGCCACCACTGTACCACTGTGCCAAGCCATCTCGAAAGACATACAGGGCTGGAACAAACCAGAGTTCTCATGGCTCTGCAGAATAAAAATTCTTAAAATGAACTCCCTCCCTAAGATACTTTACCTATTCCAAACCCAGCCAATAGCTATACGTAAGCCCTTTCTCACCAAGCTTAGACAACTCTTCACCACTTTTATCTGGGCACAGAAACAACCCAGAATCCCATATGAGATCCTAACAAGACACAAGTCCTGCGGTGGACTCCCCCTACTATAAGGCAGTCATTCTCTCTAGAATCCAAGACTGGTCCACACACCCACTGACACGTCCCCTTGAGACTGCTCCGTGCACCCTACCATCCTCCCCACACTCAAGACCTGGGCGAGCATGCGAGTAGCTGAGTGCATCTCTTTTCACCCATCCCCCCTCTTTGTTATCACATACAACCCATTCTTCCCACCAGGATTACACGCTGGGACATATCAACGATACCACAGAACGCTTGACATGCCTTACTTGACGCTCGGCTCTGTTGTGGAGAGCAACTCCATACGGACGCCTTCTAGCCTGACAGGCCCTGATACCCCAAATGCACTACAAACATTTCACTATACCCAGATGATCCATTTCCTAATGGCCAACACATCCTTGGTAAAGGGCTCCAGCACCATGTCAAACTTTGAGATTCATTGCATGACCCATAATATTAAAACCAAACAGCAATCAACCTTCTACAAACTCCTTAACCCACTCCCCAAGACACAGAAAACCCTCCTGACCCATCTCCTTACAGCGGCCAACCTGCTCATTCCAGTAAAATGGAAGAACCCCTTCCCCCCACTTCCCTTAATCTTGAAACCCCCTTTCCCAATCATACACCCCCATATCCTGAGACACATCTAACTCACACAACCTCCTGATATAACCTGGATGTGCAGCCTGATATTACTACATGGACTACTTGGTACCTCCAAACCCAGCTGCCTGACACACATAGTAGTACATATCTACCAACTCAGAGGACCAGCTTTGGCTTCGCTGAGATATACCCAGAACCACAAGGGTAGATGCGGAATACACAGTAACCACGGTTATGGACAGGGATTTTATCCCAAAATCGGTGACCGGTCTAGATACTAGAAATGGCTCAGTTGCAGGACCCCTCTGATGATGGCTTGCACCAGAAAAAATCTAGATGTGATCTAAGATCTCATTGCACAAAAATCCAACCTAATGTTCAAGAATAAGGATGTCTGGAACTGCTTCCACATAGCGTCTCGAGAAGGAGATGGAGCAATTATCAGCTACCTGCTAGATGTCTGCCCAGAAATATGGAACACAGAGAGCAAGATAAAGAGAACCCCTCTCCACACTGCAGCAAAGCATGGCTGCTTCGAGGTGGTGGAAGTAATACTGGAAAGGTGTGATTATAATCCAGAATGTAAGGACAGTTGTGGAATAACTCCATTCATGGATGCTGTGCAGAATTGTCGCCTCCTCATTGCTCAGTTGCTCATAAATTAGATAAAGGTTTGTCACACAACTGTGGATGCCATTGGCACCCAAGCCTTGCACCTGGCAGCAGTCACAGGCCAGAACCAGTCTATTTGATACCTAGTATCAGAACATGGAGTTGATGTGAATGAAAAAGCTACTTCAGCCCAGCTGAGTGCACTTCATTAAGCAGCAAAATAAGGATATGCTGAAACAATCTCAACTCTACTGTCTCTCTGTGCTGACCTACAATAAATTGATCTAGACAAATGATCTGCTCTTCACCTGGCCTCTGAGGGACAGCATGCCCAGTGTGTCCACCTTCTCCTGCAGTTTGGAATTACTGACTCGTGCGACTCACATGGATTCAAAGATGTTGATTTTGCAAGAAAGCCAGATGTTCAGCAAGTCTTCCAAACCAATTTTAACCTATTAAACGTTACAGAAAACCATCAGTAAGTTTGTACTGTGAATAGAGAGAGACATGACATAACGCTTATTCTGAGAAATGCAAGATCCACTGGTGGTTAGAACACTCTACATATGGCAATGTCTACTCTCTTTACCAATAAAAATGGATTGTGGATTTTCCATAAAAAAAATTTTTTCAAAATAAAAGGAGAATCAGCAATATTTGGTCATAATTTTACTAACAAATTGAAGAGTGAAAAGTGAACCTTGTGAGAGATCGTAAACTATGCCAACAAACAGAGATGAAAGAAAAATAAATAAATGTATGAATTTAATGGAAGAGAAGTTGGATGCCGAAGGAAGTAGAAGCAACACGTTGTGAATAGTAATGCATTCTAGAAAAAGTTTAAAAGAACGCCTCAGGTCACAGTGTCCTTTTACTTTGCTGAAAAAAGGAATGTATTTTTATGTTGACAGCAGGATACTTTGGCAGACGGCCTAGAATCTGTAGATTGAATGCAGCAAAGGCTGACTTTAGGTGTAATACCATAGACACCCTTTTTACAGCTTTAATCACAACTTCAGCAAAACTCTTCCATTGCTAAATAAATCTGCAGAGCAAGGAATGTATCTTAATAAACAGAGGACATGAAAATCACCAGTGCTATTTTTATTGAAATAACATATAATTGCAATAATTATTATATTCCTTATTCCACCAATATCGTCCTGATTTTAACGCTGGCACAGACTTTTAAAGGAGGGAACAAAAGGTAGTCAGACGAGCTTTAAGTGTATTTGAGTATAACTTGCAGGGGAAATCAGGCTCTATAAAATAAAAATTTCAGGTCAGTAGAGCTGTTTGGCTCAGCCGAAATTCAGTCATTGAAAATAATCTGAGAAAGCCATTTGGGCAGCAGAACAGCAGAAAAACTGCTGCCTCTGACTGTGCTAACATGAAAAGAGAAAAAAAAACAAAAAACAGCTGCAATATAGCCTGGCATAATGGACTACAAAATATCAGACATTTGCCAAATTAAAAATTAACTTTTTAGACGCTTTAACTGGTTACGAGTAGGGTTACCCGATGGCACATTCTGCAGCATAGGTCTTATACTCACGAAGCACTCACCCAATGCCTTCCCAATTTACCTCGACAGGCAAAAGAGCAAGAATGAAACCCAAGGCCTACACATCCCCCAGAAAATCACAAAAATAACAAGCAGGGACAGCCAGGGACACACCAGACATAGCTGCTATGCGCCAGGGCCCTGGGGCCAACAAGATGGCTGCCCAATTAGAATATGAGGTCTACTCCACAGGCTCTGAGTTTAACACTGAGGATCACCCTGTGAAAACACAGAATCTTGTGCCAACTTCAGCAATACTAGAGACGGAGGATGCAAAGCAGAATATCCACAACCTGCTACATGAACTGAAGAACTATTTACAGCTGACTTAGTTGGTCAAAGTGGACGTCAAGGTGGCTGAAGAAGACATTCTCTGTGGCCTTCAGGAGGTGACCACCATGAGAGACTATATTTAACAACTTCAGACATCACATTCAGCCTTGCTGTGAGAACAGATCTGTTAGATGACTGCAGCACTAGGGCCAACATAAAGATAAGGGGAATACCAGACTCTATCACAGTGGATGAATTACCTCACTATCTAAGGCGCTTTATCACGCCTTTCCTACTGCCTGTAAAGGAGAAGAGAACAGTGTTTGATGGATTTGAGGTATTAACAAATCTCCCAAAGCACCTTTAACAACCTCCCATGATGTCATCGTTAGGTGTTATTCACTGTCTGACAGAAACCATATTATGCAATATAGTAAGCAAGAGGACTTTTGTTTTATAATGATGATTGTAAATATGTTTTCCTTTTGCTATATTGTATTAATAAAAAAATGGGGAGCAGGATAAAATATTAAGTTGAAAAAACAGAATCAACAAAAAACAAAAGGAAAAAGTCAGTGGGCAATTGACTATCCACTCACCCATTTTACCCTGACAAGACCAAAGCTTTCCAACATGTCAGTGACTGTCCTTCAGTTTGGAAAAGATACAAAGCCATATTAGCTTCTCCCAACTACGTCTACAGAGTTAGCAAACACTGCAAGACTCAGTTAGGTAGGACAAATCCAATACAATAAAATACATTTGAAAAAAGGGGTATCCACAGCTGCAGAAGCAGGAGAAATGTTAAGGCACAAATCACTTTCTATTAAAAACCAGACACTATTTTGTAGATAAACTCCCAATGCCACACCATACTTACCTTCCTTAAGTAGATTCCTCTTCACTCCCTTTCTCCAAATCTGGTCTCTTGGGGACTATTTGGCCTTCTGTAATTTTCCTACGCTTGACCTGTGAGGATATTTATGGGGATCAATTATTATAAATTAAAAATAATATTTTTATAAAAATTATTAAAATTAATAATCTTTATCAAAATATCAGAAATTGATATTTTATTGGCGCTATTCCCAATTATTAATTTAAAACCGAAAAGTTACTCATTATTTTAACTCTTAGACCTAGAGCACCATGTTTGAATTTAATATTTCATGCATTAATATCACAACTTTTTATCAAAATTATAATATTTATTTTGTCAATAGGTTTAATCACACATGATAGTCAGTGAATAATATCTTTAATTATAGTGAACAAAATATGGAGGAGTATAGCATCACAAAATAATTTCAAACACTGTTTGATTGATGGGATTGTTATCAATCAACAGGGTTAGTAGATTATTATTATTATTATTATTATATTATTATTTATATAGCTCCAGCAAATTCCGTAGCGCTGTACAATGGGTGGATGGAATAGTTTCATATACAATTGATTGAGACAATCAGCTAATAGTATGTCACTATTTGTTAAATCAGCATATGGATTATTATAATTTAAAGATAGATGTTTTAAAATCTTAATGAATACAATCTTAGTAAGATTTTCAATCATGTGTGGATTGTTTGCTTATTGTAAACACCATTCATATACTTAGCTGGACATAGATCGTAAAACAAGTTACTCATGTGATCTGCACACAAAGTTATGCAACCTGACAAATTGCTAGGAACAATGTTTGATTAGCTACAGACATTGTTTGATTAGCTAGCCACAGGATTTTAACCAGCTCAGTGCTGACAAGTCAGTTTAAACTTTTAACACCGGCAGAATTTTAACTAGCTCACTGCTGTTTTTCACAGAGTAATTAATTATGATTAATTCATCCAGTAACATTCATTCATCCAAATCTTATGCAGATTTTTAGTTAGAACAATTCTTTATCTGATAAATATTTTCTAGGTATATTACTTGAACAGTCATTTGATTACTATTAATCTTGATAACTTTTGATATTCTATCTTTTTTTCATTATATCAATTTGTCTCCCAGTCTGCCGTTTGAGATACAAATTTTAATCATGGGCTATCACGAAACCAAGTCTTGATTCTGATCAGCTTTTACCCAGAAAAAGATGTGGTTACGTTTACAGATGAAGTAAAGAGAAAGAAGGGTCTTCAGTAGACATGTGCAATTCGTTTCGTTACGAATGTGAATTCAGACGAATTTCGGGAAATTTGGACATTCGGATACTTCCGAATGTCGGAATAGCTGAATTGCAGAAGTTCTGAATTGCCGAAGTTACGAAGCTATCTACCAAAAGGCTGAAAGACCTTAATTGGTCTTTCAGCCAAATTTACTAATACTATGTAAAAATTACTTAGTATTAGTAAATTCTGCCCCTACTCGCTATACCACAGCCTGTGGCTGCTCAGTGTAAAAAAAAAAAAAAGTGTCCCCCCTCCCGACCCAATTTAGGTCTTTTAGCCTTTTGGTGCATATCTCCCTAATACTGTGGGAATTAGGGAGTTATCTACTAAGCGGCTGCAACAGAACACCCGAAGTCCCGAAATGCCGAAGTCCTGAAATTCCGAAATGCCAAAGTTCCAAAGTGCTGAAGTACTGAAGTTCCGAAGTGCCAAACCGAACCGAAGTGCCGAAGTCCCGAATTTCTGAATGCCGAACCGAACTGAATATTTTCCCTATCCCTAGTCTTCAGGTGTTATTTTCAATATTGTTTCAAGATGTCAAGCTTGTCTCAAGAATGTCCAGATGTCAAGAGATTGTCCTCTTACTGTGTCGTGTGGTTATATGTCATTCCTTATCTGTTAACCTTCTGGCCTGGTCCAATGGAAATCTTGGGGCAAGTCTTATGTTAATGGCTGTTGACATCAGTTTGACATATATTTCTATATGTTTCAAACAGCAGGTGGAGCTGTTGGTTTACGTCAGGAATATTACCAGCTATTATCATATGTAAGGTTAACTCTTGTTCAGGACAACAAGTAGGAATGTTTAATCTCAAGACTTTTGAGTCAGCATTTTTTTAACACAATTTGGACTTTGGTTGCGTAAACCATTTTGTCCTTACTTCAGAGTTATTGCATTTCAAATGTTTTAAGTTATCTTACTTAAATACTTATATATATATATATATATATATATATGTATAGTTAATACATTGTTCTTTATACATGTATTTGTGTTTTGCAATGTATTAACTATCCACTTACTTCAGGTGGAAGGGGTTTTTATCCACATTTTATCCACATTTTTTTCCCC